CGCAGGTGTAGGGGCGCTCACCTGTGTGGTCGCGCAGGTGGTAGCGCAGCCCCGAGGAGCCCTTGAAGGCCTTGCCGCACTCGCCGCACCTGTACGGCCGCTCGGGCGGGGCCGGCGGCTCGGCGGCGGCGGCGGGTTCACCTGGCGGGGGTGCGGCCAGGCGGGGCGGGGCTCTGGGCGCCGCGGCGCACCTGGGCCGCTCGTGGCCGGGCAGGTGTCGCGCCAGCCCCGCGCCGTTCTTGAAGCTCTTGCCGCAGGTGAGGCAGCGGTGGGGCGGGGCCGGGGCCGCTGTCACCGTCACCTCTTGCTCGGCGCAGGTGAGCCCCAGCGGCCTCCAGAGCGGCTCAGGTGAGGCGGCGGCGGGCGGGGCGGGGCCCTGCAGGTGCCGCTGCGTTGAAGCTCTTGCCGCAGGTGAGGCAGCGGTGGGGCGGGGCCGGGGCCGCTGTCACCGTCACCTCTTGCTCGGCGCAGGTGAGCCCCAGCGGCCTCCAGAGCGGCTCAGGTGAGGCGGCGGCGGGCGGGGCGGGGCCCTGCAGGTGCCGCTGCGGGCAGGTGTGCGAGGCCAAGGGCGCGGCGCAGGCGGGGCACTGCGGGGCGGCGCCGTGCGTGCGCCGGTGCAGGTGCAGGTTGGACGAGTGCGTGAAGCTCTTCCCGCAGGTAGCACAGGTGTACGGCCGCTCGCCCGTGTGCACCCGCAGGTGCTGCCGCAGGTTGGCGGCCTGGGCGAAGCCCTTGCCGCAGGTGGCGCAGGTGTGCGGCCGCTCACCCGTGTGGGTGTGGCGGTGCCGCCGCAGGCTGGAGGAGTTCTTGAAGGCCTTGGGGCAGGTGGGGCAGCGGTAGGGCCGCTCACCTGAGTGCTGCCGCAGGTGGTACTGGTAGTGCGACGCCCACTTGAAGGTGAGGCCGCACTGGGCGCAGCGGAAGGCGCGCAGCCCCGTGTGCACGCGCAGGTGCGTCTGCAGCAGCGAGGAGCGCTTGAAGCCCTTGCCGCAGGTGGCGCAGGTGTAGGGGCGCTCACCTGTGTGGCCCCGCAGGTGGTAGAGGAGGGCGGAGGAGCCCTTGAAGGCCTTGGGGCACTCGGGGCACTTGTAGGGGCGCTCACCTGTGTGGCTGCGCAGGTGGTGCGCCAGGCGCGAGGACCAGCGGAAGGATTTGCCGCACTCCCGGCAGGTGAAGGGCTGCTCGGGGCCACCTGCGGGCGGCGCCGCGCCCGCCATGGCCGCACCTGCGGGGACACGGCCGCAGGTGAGAGCCTCACCTGGGACAGGTGAGAGCACAGACCTGGGACAGGTGAGAGCCGGATATTAAATATGGGGACAAGTGAGAGCCTGTACCTGAGACAGGTGAGAGCCCAGACCTGACACAGGTGAGAGCCCAGACCTGGGACAGGTGAGAGCCGGATATTAAATATGGGGACAAGTGAGAGCCTGTACCTGAGACAGGTGAGAGCCCAGACCTGACACAGGTGAGAGCCCAGACCTGGGACAGGTGAGAGCCCAGACCTGGGACAGGTGAGAGCACAGACCTGGGACAGGTGAGAGCCCAGACCTGGGACAGGTGAGAGCACAGGCCTGGAACATGTGAGAGCACAGACCTGACACAGGTCAGAGCTCCAATATTAAACATGGAGACAGGTGAGAGTCTGCACCTGACACAGGTGAGAGCCCAGACCTGGGACAGGTGAGAGCCCAGATATTAAACATGGGGACAGGTGAGAGCCCAGAACTGGGACAGGTAAGAGGCTGGACCTGGGACAAGTGACAGCCCAGACATGAAACATAGGGGACAGGTGAGACCTCAGACCTGACACAGGTGAGACCTCAGACCTGACACAGGTGAGATCCCAGCAGGCTCAGCCCTGAGGGAGCAGGTGAGACCCCCAGACCAAGGGGACACAGGCACAGGTGAGAGACCACACATGAGACACAGACACAGGTGAGAGCCCAGAGCTGGGACAGGTGAGAGCCGCACCTGGCTCAGGTGAGAGCCCAAACCCAAAACACGGGGACAGGTGAGAGCCCAGATGTGAAACATGGGAGGCAGGTGAGACCCCAGTCCCAGCACAGGTGGGCAGGTGAGACCCCAGACGTGAGACACAGACACAGGTGAGACCCCAAACCCGACATGGGGGGACAGGTGAGACCCCAGCCCATGCCAGGTGTGCAGGCAGGACCCCAAACCTGACCTGAGGGAAGAGGTGAGACCCCAGACCCAAAACACGGGGCTAGGTGAGACCCCAAACCCGACCTGGGGGGACAGGTGAGACCCCAGACCCAAAACATGGGGATAGGTGAGACCCCAAACCCGACACGGGGGGACAGGTGAGACCCCAGCCCCATGCCAGATGTGCAGGTGGGACCCCAAACCCGACATGGGGGAACAGGTGAGACCCCAGCCCCAGCCCAGGTGTGCAGGTGAGACCCCAGACCCAAAACATGGGGATAGGTGAGACCCCAAACCCGACCGGGGGGGACAGGTGAGACCCTAGCCCCATCCCAGGTGTGCAGGTGAGACCCCAGACCCAAAACATGGGGCTAGGTGAGACCCCAAACCTGACCCGGGGGGGACAGGTGAGACCCCAGCCCCAGCCCAGGTGTGCAGGTGAGACCCCAGACCCAACATGGAGGGGACAGGTGAGAACTCAGCCCCAACACGGGGGCGTGGCCAAACCGAGGGCGTGACTAAGCCGCAGTAAGCCCCGCCTCTCCCTATAGGCCCCGCCCCTCACCGCCCTCAGGCCCCGCCCCTTTCCCCTCAGCCCCTCCAGGCCCGCCCCGCGCAGGCGCCGCCGCCGCGGCCCCGCCGCTTCCTCCTCCTCTTCCTCCTCCTCCTGCCGCGCTCCCCGCTCACCTGCGGGGCTCGCGGGGGCTCCGCCGGGGCCGGGGCCGGGCCAGGACCGGGGTAGAACCGGGGTAGAACCGGGCCCGGCGCCGCCGCCGCCG